GCAGACGTGGTACCCATTTGACATTTATTTGGCTGACTTGAAATTATTTTATTAATTATAATTTATTAAATATTATTATCTACAATATCTTTCTCACTTCCCCTAACCCTAGATGTGACCTCTCGTATTCTCTTTTTCCTATCTCTTTCTAATTATTTTTCGACCATTAAATCCATTCCCTTCAGATCTATTGTTAACTCTCTTAAGTTTTTTTAGTTCGGAATAATAAACACTACACATTCTGATATTTTTTATGTGTTGTTTTGGATTATGGATCTGAAAGATGTTATAACAAGATGAGAATACAATTGAGAAAGAAGCTCCTTCTGATCCTCCTCTACGGTTTGACGTTCATTCGTTTTATAAAATATTGACAGCTTCTGATACTAATACCCATGGTGAGTTTCCTTATTTTTTCTTCCTTCTTTTTTTTCTCCCTCATTGTGTTGTTTCTTCTTTCATTTTTTCCCCTTATAAGCTTATAGCAGAAATTGGAGGTGTTTTTCTTTTTTGATAGAACATGTCAAAGTAACCACCTAAATTCTAGATCATCACTTAATATCTTCAATTTACATCTCTTGATTTCTTTTTCACTTAAATTCTATTGTTTTGTTTGAGTATGATGGGTGAGTTGAATTTTTTTCAGGGTTATGTTTTGTTACTCTTGTTATTTTTTACTAATTTAAGAATTTTTAGAGGTGAGAATGGGGAGCTTCGATTCACATCTCTTGATTTATTTTTCACTTAAAATGTTGTATATGGAAACTAAGGAAGAGTTGCGCCAAGTATATGGTGAAAGTGGTGTTCATATAAGGTACATACTATTTCATGGAAGTGAAGAATCATGAATTTTATAATTTCTCTTTTGTTTTCAGGTTGCACAATCTTTTCATGCAGTTCTGCAAAATGATGAAAGGAAAAACTACCAACTTGATATCAAATTTCAGGAATGTTTTCTTGAGCAGCAGAGTTCTAAAATTGCCCAGGATATCCATGATCATTTGTGCTGCAAATTGATCATCAATAATAGATCTTAGTTGTTTTCTTCATTTCTAGTTTGTATATTGTTAATCACAATATTATACAAATTTGTGCTTGTTGATTTTTCACACTTCTGAGTTTTATTTTTTATGTTCGGTTATTTTGTCACTCGTTACTCCAAAAACAAAACCTCTTAAATTTAAATAAAATACTAATTTTTTAATACAAATGTTGACTCAACTTATTGAAAAATATTTTGTTGTCATGCCAAGTAGGCAAAGTTAACATTTTTTTAAAAAAATTGAATGGCAAGGACCAATTTGACTGACATAACCATTTTTTAAGGATTAATATAAAACGTTTATTAGATAAGAGACTAAAGTAAAATTTTAAATTAAGTTAGAGAATTTCGACACTAATTAAACACACACACGCACACTAAAAAAAGTGACAGAACTTCCAACTATGGCAATTATTTGGCGCAGCTACAAAATACTTAAGTTGAAAACGTAGATACTCCTCCGGTTAACAATTTAAATTTACATTTTAAGATGTTAACATCACAATAACAATTAAGTTATCAATCTCTTACTTATTTAATCTTTGACCTATCAAAATCAACTATCATTAATTAAAAAAAGGCGCGATAGTGTAAAGACTATATTGATTATTATTGACAAAATATCTAAATTGGTCTCTTAAGTTTACCTCGGGGTAACAATTTAGTCCTTTTATTTTAAAAAGTTTTAAAGTGGTCCCTTAAGTTTTTAAATGGAGTCACGTTAGTCAAAGTCAATGAATTTGTACAATTCGCGCACACGTGGAGCTGATGTATGAGTAGTCATGTCACGTGGAGGTCATGTAGAATTTGAATGTCTAAAAAAGAAATAGAAACTGAAACGAAATCATTGTTCAAAAGTAGGAAATTAAGTAAAGAAAGTAGAACTCTAGCGCAGCCATTGTTGCATGTTAAAGGTGATTCTGTTGCGATTTGAAGTAATCTCTATTCTTCAAGTTGATATCAAAGACAACCAAGTATGACTTCTAGTGATTGAAGTACAAATTTTTCTATTTTGTTCGTTTTATGTTTTACATCTTCGTATCTGAAATCTTGATTTTTTCTGCGCTTCTTTTTAGGACATAAGACATAGTTTGATATGGCTGAGTATTTGAACTTAAAAATCCACCACAGTGGTGAATTTGTTGATGACGAAATGAGTGTGTACGAAGGGGGTCAGGTTGCTGAGTTGAAAATAGATGTTGATAGATGGAGTTATTTTGAACTATTGGGTTGTTTTAAGGATTTAAGGTACAATTCGATTGAGAATATATATTATCAGAATCCAACCTTTGGGATGAACTTGTTGGTTGATGACAAAGGTGCTCTAGAGATTGTTGATCTCTATAGGGTGCATCTTAGTGTTGACATTTATATTCAACACACATTGTCACGGCCTGATTACTATGATGGTCCGGTTGATGAATTAGTTGTAGAGCAAAATGAAATTGTGGATGAGACTGAATAAGTCATAGCTGCAATGTATGAGGAAGTAGTTAATGGGGGTTTGAAGGAAGCTGAGCTGATGGAAGGTGATGGTAGTGGTAAGAATGGTGCAAGGGAAAATGATGTTATAGAAAATGTTGTTAGTGAACATGTTGTTTTGGAAAATGTTAGTGAAAATGTTGTTATGGAAAATGTTATTAGTGAAAATGTTGTTATGGAAACTGATGGAAATATTGATAATGGAAAAGGTGGTGATGAGGTCAATTATGTATTTTGTTCTGATGATAGTGAGGATGAAAGCTTCATCTATGATAGTGCAGTGGAGGTAGCATTTGATGATGAATCAGATAAGTATGATGATGATTTGGATGAGGAACAAAGGCATAATTTAATTGATTATGTGAATGAAAATGATGATCAAGAGAGGAACAGGAAAAAAAAAGTAAAGAAAAGTGGGAGGAAAACAAAGATGAGTTTAAAGGTAGTGATGATTAAAGTGAGGATTTACAAAGTTGGTGTGATAGTGATGATAGTAGTATAGTGAGGGAAAAAAAGTACCCCATGTTCAAGTTACAAAAAAGACATATCTAATTACAAATGGGAGGTTGGAATGTACTTTATTACCAAAGTTGATTTCAAGGAAGCTATAACCTCATATTCAGTCCAATTTGGCAGGAACCTGAAGTTACTAAAAATGATAAGGTTAGAGTGAGGGTTAGGTGTAAGGATGGATGTGAGTGGGAAGCTTATTGTGCTAAGTTACCTAATGAAGATTATTGACAACTAAGGAAGATAATAGACAATCATAATTGTAGTGGGGTGTGATAATGACGAAGATCTACTTAATTTTATGCTTGAATCTCTATCTTCAGTTTGTTAGCCCTAGCCCTAGGTCAAATTTGTGAATCAATTTGGGACCAAAATGAACAACATCAACGTCTTAAGAAAGAAGACGATCTAACATGTCAACTCATCAGCCACATCTGCACATTATTGACAGAAATGACCGATATGACACCATTTAAAAACTTACGGGATTACTTTGAAACTTTTTAAAATTAAGGAACCAAAATGGACCTCGAGATAGACTTAAGGGGCCAATTTAGATATTTTGCCATTATTATTTCTGTCAAAAAAGATTTATTATTATTTCTTGTCAGGAAATGTGAGTCACCTCTCCATTTCTATTTAATGTATGATTTAATCATTCACACTTAAATTCAACATATTTACATTGAAAAATTATGGTAATTCTTCATTACTTTTTTTAAGTGCTAATTAATTTGAAATAGAAAAATACAATAAATAAAATATTTATAATTAGACAAAGGGTTGTGTTACTCCATCCATAATAGTTTTGCATAATCACCATAATTTTTCTAAATGTAAATATACTTTCAGTTTAATTTTTCAAAATGTAAATATAAATTATGTGTAAGATATAATTCAAAGGGGAATTATACTTTCAGAACTTCTGAAAACAATAAACGATAGAAAAACAAAAAAAAAACAAAAAATACTGCATCACAAAAGCTTAGCACCTAAATAAAGTACAGACTTCAAACATGAAGTTGTACAATTTTCATACAATGAAATTACAAATCAAACTGAAGTGGAAAAAACCAAAATTGTCAATATATTTAATAATATATCATTTTAGAATGTTGATAATATGAGCAATTAGGTTGATACTGTTATGCAACTTTATGGATCGAATCAGGATGAAAGTACAAATTTAGGATTCATGTCAACAGACATCTGATTCAAATATTTAGACTTTTATTTGAGAGTTTAGAGAGGAGTACTTTAGGTGAAGAAAGTCAGTCGTATGCAACAGTTCAGTCGTATTCATTTCCTTTTGGGGTTGGAATTTGGGTCCCCGCCCCTTCTTCCTTTCTCCTAAAGGCTCTTCCATCCTAAACTCTCATGCATCGGCTTATAATCCTTACTAAAAATTACATTGCAAGAGATTAGAAGTTGGAATTTTATGCAGACAGATACTCCTGTGAGAGAAATCATTGAACAGATATTTTGGGGAAAATGGGCTCCGACACCTTGGAGCCATCAAGAACCTCCCCGTCATGAACCTCCCCTTCCTATGGTATCGGCGTTATAAGCAGAACAATTTCTATTTTCTCTTCAATGCAGGTTGTTAATTTGTATACCTACACACTTCCTAACGTTATATTAAGCATCATCCTTATATTGCACCCCTTAAAAATCAAACAGTCGAGTGGAATAAACCTTAACTTGTGAATCAACCTTATACAATACAGTAAACTATAACATTCTTATTTAACCAATAAGACAGACATATATGTTACAATAGTGATCAAAAGAACAAAAGAAAAACTAAACTCTGAACTTATAATTTATTGAACTAGCTTATTAAAACTATATCATCTATTAATGAAACAAAACACAAAAATCACCATACATTACAAGCATGCCAATTGCATGCAACACAAGCTGAAAATGTTAAACCAAAAAGAAAGAAACAGAAACTACCTTATCATCATGTTCGCGTACACGTCGCATCAAAATCATCAGGAGCAACACGAGCAATCCAACTACTAAGCGTTCTCTTAATATCCGAGTGATTAACATAAGCCAACTCATACATACTACACAAATTAACAACCAGTGTCTCATTGAGCGCAACCGTAGGAACCCTTTCAAGAGCATTTTCCAACACCTTGATTGAATCCGACAAATCCCTCAAATACATCAAACAAAGAGCTTTATTGTTAAAAGCCACTATATCAGTATGATCCCTTACAATGCACTCTTCATACTCCCTCACCGCAGATACATAATCCTTCCCAACCATATACACCAAAGCCTTGTTTCTATTCACAAGATTCATAAACTCGACCTCACTCAACGTCCCATTGTTCTTCCCATCAACTTCAGCTTTCAAAAACGAAGCTTTCGCACCTTCCAAGTCACCAGTTTGTAATTGAATATACCCAAGTTGCGAAATCAAATATGGATCGGAAGAATTGCGAGAGAGTAAACTTTTCATCAAGCTTAAACAAACACCAAACTCTTTGTGACTCAAATGGTGACCAATTATACAATTCACAACAAAAACCTCTCTTTTTCTCCATACACGAACTGAATCGCTTAGATTGTTGTTTTCCTTGGTAGTAATCTTCTCACGCACGAAATCGAGGAGACCGTATAACCGATCTATTCCTTGTTGTCGTTGACCTAATTTGATCGGAATTAGGGCGTGGAGCCACCGGAGGGAGAAAGGAACCATAGATCCGACACGATTAGGGTAGATTTTAGGATAAGTTTCGTATTGGTAATGTGAACTATCGAGATCTTCGACAGAATCGAGTTCGGAAGAAGCTTCATTGAAACGACGTAGTTTGGTGAATGCGAGGGCGTTGAAGGCGAGATAGGTGAGGTGGTCGTGAGGTTTTTGGAGAAGAGAGAGGGCTCTGGCGCGTGAGACTTTGTCGATAATGGAACGCCACGCGCCGCGGTTGGCTAGGTCTTGGAGGGAGTGGAGGTCGTGGCAGAGTCCGTCTAACGGGTTTTTGATGGATGGGTTGTGAAGAGGGTCGGTTCGTGATTCGGATCTTGAAGATTGCGACTCCATTGTTGGGAGGGGAATGGGAGAGACGGTGGTGGGGATGGTCGGAGGAGGTGGCGGATCTCGCCGGAGTTAGAGTTGGCTTCGTTGGTTATTGGTTAATGAATCTCTTTAGTGAATTGGGATTTATGTTGGGCCCTAATATCAAACATCTAAAACTACTAGAACATTTATGAGTTTCTATTAGCCCCTTTCATTTTCTGATACACAACATTTGCCAAGTTAAATTGCATCTTATTTGATTACAAATTGTCTAAGGTTCTATTCGGAGTGGTCGAGAGTTTTTTAAGTTATATATATATATATATATATATATATATATATATATATATATATATATATATATATATATATATATATATATATATATATATATATATATATATATATATATATATATATATATATATATATATATATATATATATATATATATATATATATATATATATATATATATATATATATATATATATATATATATAGCGGAAGTAGGATCGAAATAGTTTGAGTAAAAAGGAGTATAGAAGATGGTAGAGACAATATTACAAGAAACTTCAAACTTTTATTCAAATGTGTGTTTACAAAAGAAATTGAAATCCCTTTATATAGGGAAGAAAAATGCTTACTATTTAATCTGATAACCGCTACTTACAATAGTCGGTAAACTTGTATAATTATTGTCAGGTACTCTTTAGGCCTCATCGACACAACAATTAACAAGAAACCAAAAACTTTAACAAAAGAAAGAAAATGCATACCTAGAAATTCTAAAGACAAGATAAGATTCTTATTCCATTGTCTTTTACAAAAGAAAGAAAATGCATGCAATTATGCCTAAACATTTTAAAGACAAGATAAGATTCCTTTGTCTTTTGCTTTAGTAAAGATTCTTCTATTATTTCTTGTCCTCTAGCCTTTGATTCTTATTCCATTATTTCTAGACAAGATAATAATTTAATTCTTTGCTTTTCCTTTTACTTTCATAGACTGAATCATTGCATCCCAGAAATCTTCTGCAATAGCTTCATCTACTTAACCTTCTCCTGCCAAACCATCAAGGTTATGGGAATTCATTGATCCCATGGAAGAGCTTGTCTTCATAGATGAATCCTCACCTTTTGATGCTTTTGTTGGAAAAGTAGAGAAGAATTGGTTCTTCATATGATCCAAAATTCTAACCATGATTTCATCTCCTGATTCATTGGGATATTTTCTGTGGAAGAAGTTCTTCAAGTTTTCCATAGACATTTGTTGGGAGCTTTGCTCTTTGACCTTATTATTCTGGTCTTCATCTATACCTTCTTGAATTAATTTTATTTTATTATGGATATCCTCTGAATTGTCCCACCATTTATAGAAGAAATTTCTTTCTAAAATGAGAATGTTGAATTTTTTTTTGATATGGTGATTGACCATCTCCATATCCATGGAATCTGAAATTTAGTAAAGAGCAAAAATGGACATTGTACAGTGATCAAATTATCAGATAAAATTTTTACAATAAGTGGACTATTATCACACCATGGATTGTATAAGTTAAGAATTTCTTTAGAAAGAATCTCCAAAGATGGACCAAATTTAGCCCACCATTCATAAAACCAATTTGGTATGGGTTTATTAACCATCTCGATTAATAGAAAAAAACTAAGAATGCTTGTTCTTGGGATTTTGGTAATAAAAAGCTTGAGTGAAAGCTTGGAAATAGTCCCAATAATTAAAGTAAATATACTTTCCTTTTGCAACTCTTATTGTCTTTTCAGCATTTAGGTTGAGACCTCATTCTCTTGGTAACAAAATTTTGTTAATGTGACATTTACTGAAGTTTATAAAACTTTCAGGATTATTATTTTGGTAATGATGAGTAATTGTTACCGATTCGGAATTTCTAGGTTGGGCCTAGATTTTCCATTAAGACCTGAATATCCTTTTGATTTGAGGTATCTAGTTTTGATAGACCAACCATCATTTGGATTTATCTTCATATCTTCATCATCAATATACATGATTTTTTTAGTTACTGGATTTTCAAAATAATCCATTTGTTCTTGAGGTGAGTTATTAACCGCAACTTCCTTGTAGGATGTAGTTTTATTAGAGGAAGAGGAAGCAATATCTTCCTTTTTTTGTTGAAGATGCGGGTAATTGCTGCATTTTCTACCTTTGTAGACAGTAGTCTAATCCTCTATTAGAGGAATGCTTGATTCTGCCTGGGGTAAAATTTTGTTACTCCCTCTCCCACCACGGCCAAAACCGCGGCCTCTACCTCTATATGGGGTCATCATTTTTTCCCTGCAAAAATTTACGAGTTAAATAATCAGCAAGTGAATTATTTTTACCTTTAATGTGTTGAATATCAAATTCAAACATAGATAATTGTGATTGCCAACTAGCAAAAATTTGCTTAGCAACAAGATTTTTAACATCTTTTTCAATAATTGATTTAGCTGAGCTACAATTAATTTTTAATAAAAAAATTTTATTAAGAAGATCATCTTGAAATTTTGAAATGCATTTTATAATAGAAAGTATCTCTTTCTTGATAGTTGAATATTTTGCTTGTGTTGGATTCCATTTTCCAGAAGTAAATCTAACCAAAACTTCTTTTGATATTTCAGGTATTATTTGTTTAAGGATTCCTCCATAGCCTAAGTCTAAAGCATCAGTTTCAACAATTTTGAAATACTTAGGATTAGCAAGAGATAAACAAGGCAAATATTTCACCTTATTTTTAATTCTTTGGACTGCATGAGAATGGTTTTCAGTCCAAGGGTCAGGATTCTTTTTAAGCCTATCATGTAATATTGTCATATCTTTAGCAAGATTTTGATAATAATCTGCTATGCAGTTGAGGCTACCAAGAAACTTTTGTAATTGTTTCTTATCTGTAATAATATTAGAGAATTTGGAAGCAAATTCAATACTTCTTTGTATAGGAATTATAGTTCCTTAGTCAATTTCATGACCTAAAAATCTAACTTTTGTTTGAAAAAGTTTCATTTTAGGAGCAGATATCACTAATCCATTATTTTTTACTAATCCTTTGAATATTTTTAAATGCTTAACATGTTGATCTATAGTTTTAGAAAAAACTAAGACATCATCAATATAAACAATTATAAATTTTGTATAAGAATTAAAAATATCATTCATAATATTTTGAAATTCATATGGGGCATTTTTAAGGCCAAAAGGAAGGATATTCCATTCATAATGTCCAAAAGGAACAGTAAAGGTTGTTTTATACTTATCAGATTCATTAATCTGAATTTGCCAATAATCAGATTTCATATCAAACTTAGAAAAGATTAAAGCATTGTTTAATCTATCTAAAAGATCTTTTTTTATTAGGAATAGGATATCTAATCTATTTTAACACTTTATTAAGAGGTTTGTAATTTATAACAAGTCTAGGGACTCCCCGTTCCCTTTCGGCAGCATTATTAACATAAAAAGTTATGCAGCTCCAAGGAGATTTGGACTTTCTTATTAATTTTTTCTCTAAAAGAGATTCTATATCCTTTTTGCATAAATCCAAATACTCGTGGTTCATTTGATCAGGCCTAGCTTTAGTAGGAATCTGACTTTCATTAAAGTCATCAAGGTAAGGTAAGGAAACAACATGTTTCTTTATATCCCAAAAGGCATTAGGTAAATTATTGCATATTTCCTCTCTAAATTGTTGATCAATTAATTTAATTTGATTTTGAATTTTAGGTTTTTCAAGTTGAGAAGTGATGTTTAATAAACTCACTTCTTCTTTAAGAAAACAAATTTGTTTTTCTTTTTCAAGAAGAATATCTTTAACTTCATTAATCATCCTAGTATGAGGATCAGTAATAAATTCAAAGGTAATTCTTTTATTATTGATGATGGAGGTAATTCCCTTTTGATCAACATTAATCAAAGGTATTATTTTATGCAAAAAGGGAGTTCCTAATATAATTCTATGAGTTAAATTTTTTTACAAGAATGAAATGAGTAGATAAACAAATATCTTTGTTACAAACGTAAGCATTAGACAGTTTATAATTAACCGTGAGTTTATCTCCTCCAGCTTGGGTAAGAGATTGGGTAGCTTTTTCAAAATATTTAGTAGGAATAATTCCTTCTTGAAGGAAGTTTAAATCAGCGCCACTATCAATAAGGGCAACTTCATTTTCTAATATGAAATTTCTATTAATAACTAAAGTTATTCTAACAAACCATTTTTGAGAGGTCACTCTATCAATGAGAGAAAGGAAATCATCACTAGGTGAAGGATTACTAGTAGAAGCTATTTCTTCAACCATAGAATTATTGGATTCTAAAAAAGTGACTCTTTGAGATAAAACATAGTTTTCTTTTTTAATCTGAGATATCTCATTTTTTAAGAAGGTTATTTCTCTATTTAAATCCATAATAGAAACGGGAGTTTCACGGATGTTAGACTGTCTAAACCTAGACAAAACCTCACTTAATTGGTAAGGTGCTTCTGTAATAATAGGAAACTCTTTTTTAGAGTTTTCTTGTATTAAGACTTCAAGCATTTTTCTTTTTAGTTTTTTATTAGAAATGGATTATATAGCTTTTATGGCTTCATCATGTTCTGAGGTTAAAACATTTAACCCATTCATCTCAATAATTGATTTCCAATAATCTAATTGACTACATTGACAATCATTATTGTCAGAATATTCAGAAGAGGAATCAGTAGAGGGTTCATAGATCATATTAATATCTTCTAATAATTTTCAGAATCAGAATTGAGAAGTAGAACTTTCTCTAATTGAGAACGTAATTGTTCATCTTCTATCTCATTAAGAGCTTTTTTAGTCCAGCATTGGTTGGCATAATGGCCAGGTTTGCCACATTTATGACATGTTATGTCAAGCCTTTTGGCTTTTCTTTTACCTTTAGGGTCAAAAGATTTTTCTTTAGGTCTACCTTTATTGTAGTGACTCCTTTTCTTATTCTTATAAGAATTTTTAGACTTATCCTTATAAGGTTTATTACAGAAAAAATTT